TTCGTAAAGATTTCCCTTAGCAAGTATCTTTCGAATCGGGGATGGCGAATTAATATTTGACCCAGAAAAAAATAAAAACGCTATCATAATCTAACATGGTACAGGATTTTAACCCATCACCCGTCTACCACTGAGGATATTTTACGTCAGCACTGTTGCTACGAGCAGAGATCAGAGTTCGTATCAACTAGCTACCGCCGGCAATCGAACTTGGGCTGTCCATTTGGAAGGCGAACACTTAACTTCTGAGCTACGAAATAGAAAAGCAAGAAAAGTGTCCAAAATTGCTAAATTAAGAAAAAAAGCAATTTTCAAGTATGGTGTTGCAGCCTATTAAATGATGATACAAAAAATTTTATTATTGAATTAAAAAACTGTATCCTATTTGGAGTTAATTTTAGTAACATCTTAAAGTATCTTTATACGAAAAAAATCTAGCTTTATCATAAGCGATATTAATCGTTATCTGTTATAATTTTTTTTGTGATTTATATCATTTCAAATGTATGAATTCAAATAAATCTTTAATTAAGGCATTACTATATAAATTTAATTAAAAGCTTTTAACAATACAACATCATTACAATATCAATACAATTATTTAATTATCTTAAGTCGAAGATATTCTCTTGTTATGCTCCCATCTTGCGGTTTTTTTCATAGTTTGTTTTACTGACCTGATAGTAAAATGTTTCATCAGAAAAAAATTACTACTCTTGTTAGATATTTGGTCAAATATGGTTTTGGAATGTTTTTGTTCAAAAGTTTAAGTAAATGCGTTTTTTTCTTCTTTTTTTTTGTTTTCCCAATTATTTTATCATAATGGACAATTTTTTTGGTTTAATGGCTGGCATTTGAGTCTATTTCCCATAGGCCTTAGAAATGCCAGAATTGCTGCTCTTTTATCGTTACCCAGTGGACAACTGTGGCTAATCCACGGCGGTGGAGTAGCGTCGCCCACGTCATACAATCACAAACCCGTTTATAAAGCTGGTTTCATTCACACAGAAGAAAGGACATAGAACACAAAGAGAGAGAGAGAAAGTTACATCCATGCCTACGGTGGGATTCAAACCCACAACCACTTTTGGTAAAATTAACAATAAAATAGTATTTTATCATTCTCCTGTTTGGTAATAAATGTGGTAATTTTATCATATTTTTGGGCATATCATAAAAACCATTCTGCACTTAGCATATTTTTACTAATTGTGTAGTAATAAGAACTATAATTTTGAGAACCAGAATTTCTGGTAAACTGTTATCATAACAAATAAAAATATAGAATATGTTAAAATTTGCCATGTTTCTGGCTCTATTGGACCAAAAGGCTCGACAGTTTTTACGGAAGTGCTTTGGTAATGATTTTGGTAAAATTAACAGTAAAATATTGTTTTCTAATATGTGTTAAAATTTGGTAAATGTAATAAAAATTGGCAATTTTATCATGATAATTTAGCTTATGGTATAAAACTCCTTTATTCGGTAAAATTTGCTTTCCAGTTTTTCAGTTTTTACTAATTGTGTTGCTACTGTAATTTATAAATTATAACTATAATTTTAAAAAACCACAGTTTCCGGTAAACCGTTATTTTATGAATGGATTAAATAACTATATGAATGGTTCAAATACTGTATTTATTTTTATTACTAAGAATTATTGGGTTTTTTTACTGGAAATGTCATTACCTTACAGTAGGGTAATTTTACCGGAATTTTTTTCTCTGTCTATTTTTGTATAAATAATTGCACTGTTTATTTTTACATGTTGGCTGCATTACAGACTGATTACGCAAGATTCTTCTCAAAAACCCTTTAACACAGTAAATCATTGGTTTTTTAATGCTGTCATTTTTAAGGCTGTAATCATCCAATTAAAACTTTATTATTTTATTTTAATCATCTGAAAAATATTTGAAATTTTTTTGCCATTATTTAGGCTTAGAAAATTGGTCCTTTCGTTTAGAAAAACGTTTTTTTAAAGGTATTTATTTATAGAAAAATATTGTAATAATTAATATTAATACCTTTCATTAGAGAGAGTAACAAGTTTACTCTAAAAAAAATTTGTCTTATTGTTAATTTTATAATTTAAATGAGAACTTAATTATTTCCAGAGCTTAAAGTTTAGATATGGTTATGCTTCCATCTTTTTAGAGCTTGTCAAAAATCTGTTTTCAAAAATTGAATCAAATATTGAACGCAAATAGTTATATAAAATAATAATAAGCCATAAGCGCAACAATATTTTTGTGAATATTATTATTATGATGCAATTGTTACATACAACATAAGTACAAAGTGTAATGAAATTAATTAATTTTATCAATAGTTAAATATTTAGCCGAAAATTTCGTTATTCATTTCTCAATAATTTAAAAAAAACTAACTAATAAAAATATAATCAATGAAAAATTGTTATCCGATAAAGCTCATTAAAATTGCACATCTAATTGTATCAAAAATTAATCTATTTCGGAATATAAGTTTAATGACCTTAATTGGAAATAAGTAAATAAAATTTCTATAAGTTATTTATATGGTATGAATGTTAAGAAATGTTAATTATATTTTTCTTTTACTAAAGCTGAAATTTGAAAAATGTTGCGCATTTTTCCTTTTGCAGGTCTAAATCTCTGAAATATTTGAATAAACATTTATAAAATCTGCAGCTTTTTAAATCGTCTTAGTAGACTTTCGAAATTTCTGCATTTTTATGGTGATAACTGCAATTCGTTCCTCAGTTTTTCAGATGATTTTATTTCATGGGTAGACACTGATCAATAAAGTATCTAATAGTATGAAAATTATCATCTCTCTGAAGGTTTTTTATTATTTTCTTACTTTATACTCCTTCAACAATATTTCAAAATTTTATTTGAAATAAATTCCATACATTAAGCAAAACTAATATATATGTGAACATTACTTTTCATATTAAATAAAAACAAATATGACATATCTAAGCAAAAAAAAAGTTGTTTCATTAAAAATAAAAACGAACATTTTTAAGATTTAGATGAAATTGAAAGTATTTGTTTTATCCAAATTTATTAAGAGTAACACTTGCATCATTTGAGAACAATTTAATACCTAAGAAGTTTTTTGAAAGGGATGAAAAAGTAAAAGTAACCAAGCAGAAAAGTAAACAAGCTTTCAAACAAAAAATATACGCACGTAAAGATATTAGAGAAAAAAAATTTCAATTCTTTTAAATAAATTAATCAGAGAGTTTTAAAATTAAAGACAAAACAGAAACGCTCAAAAAAAATTTTAAAGTGAAAAGGTTTTTTGATATGATCTCATAATACTTACTGATTTTGATACTTCTCAATAATAAGAAAGAAATTTTTTGAAGCATATAGCCTCAAAAACTATGGAGAATAATAATAATTTTTCTTTGATTGATTTGTTGACCATACACAGGGGGACATAAATACCTTATTATATGGCAATCATATTTCTGATTTAAAAAAACATAATTCTGTTAATAGACCAAACTATACAATATTTATACCATTCATGTGATAATTTTTCCATTCGTTATGGTTACAGTTTACAGTAAAAATTATAGTTCTTATTGCTACACATTTAGTAAAAATATAAAACTGAAAAATTAATTTAACCGAATAATTCATTTTCTCTGCTATGCATCGTGATAAAATTACCAAATTTTACTACATTTAGTACCAATTAGGACGATGATAAATCCATATTTTATTGTTAATTTTACCAAAAAACTTCGGTAAAAATTACTGTGTTTTTTAGTGCTCTTATACACCCGGTAAATTTTAATCATATTCTATATTTATATAATAAGTAAATTTTATCATATCTTGGTAGTTTCGACCATACTTCTTTTCTCGGTGCAGAATATCACACTGTTTTCAGCTCGATTAAATTATTAGGATTTTCAAATCAAACATAATTTTCATGAAAAAAAAATTTTTTTTAAATGTTTTAAATGAAATCTTTAAAATTTTAAATAAAAAAAGCCTATTTTCCTTATTAAACGAAATTTCAGCTAAAAAGTGTTTGATTAAAGATTGCTATCAATTTGAAAATGATTGAGAATCCTTTTTACTTCACTTACTGCCAATACATAACTAAGAATATTAAAAATATTTTTTTCTTTAATTTCAATGCCAATCGTAATAGTTTACTTGCATCTACAGTTCAAATATCTTGAACAATACAGAAATTTTCAATAAAATAAAAATAGTAATTAAATAAATAAATCCGTTAATTATAACATATATTTTTGATACCATATATATTTTGATATAACATATTTTTTGTTAAAACATATTTAAGCTCACAAAAAACTCTTGGTACAAAATCTAAATAAATTTGTAAATATTAAAAGAAACTGGAATATAAAAACGAAATCAACTCTTTACCTAATTTGAATGCTCATTTAAAAAAAGATTATCTCTTTTTAAATCAGTGACTAACAGACTTGAGCCATACAGATTTTCTAATGAAGAAAATTTTAAAAAAATATTAAATAAAATAATTTATACAAGATTTTTTTTCCTAAAATAAATTTTAGCTTAAACTTCCTTCGTTGTGTGATTGATAAACACTTAAAATTAATAAGAATAATTTTGTTATAACTTGCTGTTAACATATAACCGCGCAAACTTCAAATATTAAAAAAAATCCACTGAATGAATGTTAATTTGAATAGACTAATCATTTTTACAATTCAACTAAATTATTTAATACAATTATTTATCTAAAAAAATTAAATATTTAAAAAAAAATTATTATTTTTTGAAAAAAAAACATTTTTATAATAAAAATGTTTTAAATAAAATATTATTTAAAAATATTAAATTTTTTTTATTAAAAAAAAATTTGAACTAAAAAATTCTCAATTCGGAATATCGTTTTTATCACTTGCTTTCAATCTTAAATATGAAAAATAAAATATTTAAAAAAAAACATTAATTTTTTTTTACTTCCCCATTGAATGGTAATCCTAAAACGTTACTCACCTTCAAACAAATCAATGGTTGAGTGACATGAATCACGCAGAAAATTACTGAATGTTTCGAATCGGTGATCGCCTTTTAAGAGACCATCTTTTTTGCCGTTTCATCACGTGGTTTCTGAGACGTCATAATTAGCAATAAGACACAAGATCCTCCCACAAATAGTCAATAAAGAATTTTTCCCCACAAAGCCGGGAGCCATTTTTGATGTTTGAATTTGGTTCCACCGGATTGGCATCACCATTCCGTTGAGATATTTTAAATTGGTTCACAGGACAAGTTCAGTGTCACGAGGCTTGTAAGTCAATGGGATTTTTTTTTAATGAAGCGGAAACAAAAATGTTTTCTTTCCCTCCGGAAGTTCGGAAATAACATTAAATATGAAACAAATTAATCTTCTTGATTCTGAATTATGTATGAACTGATTAAGTTCAAATCGTCAAATTAGGATAAAACACGAAGGATTTGAAGATGTATGTTTGAATGTCAAATAGAACAAATCATTTTTTTCAGCTCTTAAACGTTTTCATTTAGATAAACGTTTAAGTTTTAATTGATATTATAAATAAGTTTTTCTTATAATATTTGTCTATTTATTTTGTACTTATATAGCTTTTGTATTATTATAAAAAAAATTTCAATTCCAGTCTAAATTTTTGCTTATTTATTTTTTATTAAAATCATTTTGAATAACTGTTTTATAAGAGAGAACTACAAAGCTAAACTTTTAATTTGTTCGATAATATTCGAATTTATTTATACATTTTTTGCGTGATTACATAATGTTCACGCTTTCTGATACGAGAACAATAAATCATATAATTCATACACAATATATTGATATATATAACAGTATATATTGACAAAAGTTTTAGGTTTTTAGGGGGGTATTTAATCCAAATTTAAAATTATTTAACGAAAAAAATAAATTATTAATTTAATTGGCAAGTGCAGCGTTTTATGCAACAAATGTACATATTTTTTCGTCGCAATTTTTCATTAGCTTTTATTAAAAAATTTATAATTCCTTGTAGCATTATCACCTATCATTGTACTTCACCGTATTTAAATTGAATTTATCATAATATTAATTGATTTTATCATGATATTATCACCAAATGAAATTATCATTCATAAAAATTTCAGCTATTTTTCGACAGGTAAAAGTTATTTAATTTCAACTAGAGCTCAAGATCTAAAATCAATACACGTTCTTGTCTGCAGCAAAAATATTAACTTTATTTTATCACTAAATTTAATTTATCCTTTATAATCAGCAAAAGAACAAATTGCATCCCGGCAAAGTTTTATTCGAGCAAATTTAATCCTAAAAAATTTTTTTGCCAATATATTAAAATGTACAAATCTAAGCATGTCGGTATACGAGGGTTGCTATTTATATTTCTGGCCTTGGCAACAGTAAGTGTTGCTAGGCGACCGCAGACGATTTTAATCGAAAGTTTGATAATTTTAAACATAAATTCAGCAGATGATTTACCATTATAGTTTCATTTGTGTTGTTGACAGTAAATTGAAAAGTTCTTCTCTTTCAAAAAATGTAATTGAATCGTGAACATTTTCGTGCCATTATTTTTCATAACTTTCGACGTGGATTGTCAAGACAAGAGTGCTTCGATGAACTTAATTCTTTATTCAGTGATAAAGCGCCATCCTACAGCACTACGAATTTAATTGTGGTCGATGTTCGATCCAGGACGAATCCCGTGCAGGTCGTCCAAAATCCGTTGTTGTGCCAGAAAAGATCGATGCTGTGCATAAACTGATAAAGCAAGATCATCATGTGACATACCGTGAGATATAGGCGTCTTTGGACATTAGTATGACTAGCATCAATAAAATATTGCATGAACATTTGAGCGTAAAAAAAAATTGTTCGTGTTGGATCCCGCATAATCTGACAAACGCTCAAAAAAAGGCTCGTGTCGATTGGTGCAAGGAAATGTTAGAAAAATACGTTCAAGGTACATCAAAGGCTGTGTATAACATCTGCACAGGTGACGAATCATGGATCTATGCATATGAGCCGGAAACAAAACAGCAATCAACTGTATGGGTCTTCCAAGACGAGGCAAAACCAACAAAAGTTGTTCGAAGAAGAAGCACATCGAAACAAATGATTGCCTGTTTCTTCGACATTAACGGTCATGTGGCAACAGTGGCGTTAGAGCAACGCAGGACGGTCAATTCTGAATGGTACACGACCATTTGTTTGCCAGAAGTCATCGGAGAAATTCGAGAAAAGCAGAAGAACAGGCGAATCATTCTTCATCATGACAATGCGAGCTCTCACACATCGACTCAAACAAAGGCATTTCTGACGGAGCGAAAGATTGAACTGATGGGTCATCCGCCGTACAGCCCTGATTTGGCACCCAATGACTTCTTCTTATTCCCTCACATCAAAAATAAATTACGGGGACAACGATTTTCGACCCCCGAAGAAGCGGTTGATGCATTCAAAACGCATGTTTTGGAGTTACCTCAATCGGACTGAAAAAAGTGCTTTGAAAATTGGTTCAAACGCATGCAAAAGTGTATTGATCATCATGGAGAATATTTTGAAAAACAATAAAACCAATTTCAATCCTACATATTTGTTTTTTCATTATTAGGTCAGAAATATAAATAGCAACCCTCGTATCTACAGTAATGATAAATATTAACACCATATCCCCTAAGTGAAATGATCCCAATTTGATAATGAAAATAGTATTATTTTTATGGGTGAATAAATGGTTAAAATAAATTAATTTTCTCAAAAAGTTACTTAAATTAGGAATTTTATTTTGTTATGAAACAAAGTTATTTACTGATTTAAGAAGAAAGAAAGAATTGTTTATTGAACTTAAAAAAACTCATGGAAATTTATGTCATAAAACAACTTTCCAGCATTAATGTTCATAATATCTAAATTTAAAAAAATAGCAAAAATATTACAATAATGCACGTAATTAAAAATTACTCATTAGATACAAAAAAATTTTTATTTAAAAGATTTCAATAGATTATAGAGCAGATATTTCTTATAGAAAAGGATACGGGAATTATAACTTATGCATTTGTTGCGTACGCTTAAAAACATTATGTTTTACTGTCCTGAAGTACAATCATCGCATTTTTAAATAAACACAAAATTGACATCAGTCGAAATAAGCTATCCTCATTATTTCGTAACCCTCATTTTTTTCAAATAAAATTCAGATGAGTTGCTAAAAAAATTTTTTTGAAAATGAAAATAGAATGAAAGGAAAATTTTCTTTAAGTGGAAAAAATATTGTTTTTCTCACAAAGACATTAATTCAGTGGTTCGAATGCTGTGTTGTCATCTTTTATTTATTCATAATTACACGGAGAAAAAAAGTCCGACAAAACTACCGTACTAGATGATAATGATAATTCCGGTAAAAAAAACGTACTTCTGATAAATTTACGTTATTTAAACTAACCACTCAGGTGGTAATTTTTTCGTTCATGCGGTAACAGTTTACCAGAAATTCTGGTTTTCAAAATTATAGTTCTTATCACCACACATTTATTCAAAAATACGAAACTGAAAAGTAATTTTATCCGAATGAATGAATTTTGGATTATACAGATAAAATTACTATATTTTATAACACATTATAAAATCATATTTTAATGTTAATTTTAGCAAAATCAATATCAAAACTCTTAGATAAAAATTACAGAGTTTTTTGGTGTTCCCTTAGAGCCAGAAACACTGCTGTTTTGATCATACTCAGTGTACTGAACTGAATATATTTAAATCAATACTAAACTGAAGATAATGTAATTTATAATTGAAATTAATTATAAATTACATAACCTTACATACTTATCTAAATAAACTTCTTCGAAAATCAGTACCAAAGTGAAGATAATGTGATTTATAATTGAAATTATAAATTACATTAACTTACATACTTATCTAAATAAACTTCTTCGAAAGACAATACTAAACTGAAGATAATATGATGTATAGTTGAAATTATAAATTACATTAACTTACATGCTTATCAAGATAAACTTCTTCGAAAATCAGTACTAAAGTGACGATAATGTGATTTAGAATTGAAATTATGAATTACGTTAACTTTCATTCTTATCTAGATAAACTACAAAAATCAAGACTAAAGGAAAGACAATGTGATTTATAATCGAAATTAAAGATCACATTAACTTACATACTTATCTAGATAAATTTCTTCGAAAGACAATAATAAACTGAAGATAATGTGATTTATAGTTGAAATTATAAATTACATTAACTTACATACTTATCTGTATAAACTTCTTCGAAAATCAAGACTAAAGAGAAGATAATGTGATTTATAATTGAAATAATAAATTACATTAACTTACATACTTATCTAGATAAACTTCTTCTAGAATCAATACTAAATTGAATATAATGTAATTTATAATTGAAATTATAAATTACATTCACATACATACTTGTCTAGATAAACTTCCTCTAGAATCAATACTAAACTGAAGATAATGTGTTTCATAATTGAAACTATAAATTACATTATCTTATCTAGATAAATTTCTGAACAGCATACTTTTCAGATAAGATTTCAGATAAGTAATCTATTCGACGGAAAAAATCTTTACTCGTAAAATTGCATTAACTTTGATACGTATTATTTAAAGGCACTGAATACTTTTTATAACGTTTCATACCAAATGTGTTTTGATTGTACCGTCCACAGTTCTCGTAAGTCTAAGGCATACCAATATTACTTCAGTTGTTGTTTCGAAAAAAATAGTTTTTCACTATGGTTGATAATAATTTTAATTTGGACAGTAATTTACAGTACTATTCTAACTAAATTCGTTCAAAATTGTCATCAATAAAAGATCTTCACATTTATTGTTGTATCGTATTTGTTAAATTATTATTTTGTTCAAACTGTACATTTCATATAAAATTTGTTAGAAATTCTTTTTGAGGGCTAAATTAAAAAAATAAGTTATAATTCATTAAAAAAAATTAAGCGTAGCTAACATTTTTAATACATGTAATTAAGAAAGATTTATGGTTTCCTTAAATTTTGACTATGTTTGAGAAACTTACTTCTACTGGTATCAAAAGGAATAAATTCGTTAAGGATCTATTGTTTTTTTAGTTCTTTGTACGCAGTTAATTATTTGG